GCATGAATAAGGCATATCTATTGTTTCAGAATACCATCAATAAACACCAAGAATATGAAAAATATGACACAAATTTAAAAAAACAACTTAAAGTACCTGAGAGGGAAGCAATTCCTACTTTGTCTAATCTACATAATGTTCCTTAATGTGGGATTTATACCTTAGTATGAAACTATGCTTTTTAAGAAGGAAAGGACAAATTCTGGGGACATTTTCTGAAACACTGTATTACAATACTCTGAGCAACTGTATTCACTGAAGGGAACAAAAGCTTCAGATGAAATCTCAACTACTTTTGCTTTGCAGCAGAGGTTGGTTTCAAAGGGACATGCCAGGCTGCAACTCTTTTATCTAAAACATTTTACAAATAGATGGGAAAAAATGGAAATCCGATTAAGAATTTACCCTGAAAAGACAAAAACAATGAAAAAGAATATGGATAAGCATATATCTGTCTTTTCATCCAAGGAATCTTTTTTCATATCCACTCCTCTCAATCCTTGAAGGAATGGCTCATGTAGTTACAGGGTGAATTGTTCACATGTGTCTTTCTGGCTGGATGTTCACAACTTGAGCTTAAGAATGATTTCCTCACCTACCTCCTCTTCATGAACTTTTGTTGAATTAAGTGCAATCTAATGGATCAGTAGTAGTCAGTTTGCCACTCCAGAGAGGTACTGATTTAGGAAGACAGGACAGGATGAAAGTACTGCAAAGAGACCAAAGGTTGCTCTTCTAAGTCACAGCTACATTTCTTACCCTAATTCCATATCCTCATAAATTGACAAGAACAGGGAAAACACACCAATAAAATGAAACTGCTTTTATCTAAAATACCTAGAACTATTTAGATCCAGTTTTTAACTATTAATTGACTAATTATTATCCATTACCAGAGAGCTATCAAGTGGAACAACGCCAAGCTGGTTTGGATAACAAAACAAGAGATATAGAGAAAATGTGTTTTATTTCCTTCCATCTACCTCATATGCCCACACCTAGATTGCTGGCACAAGCTGGGAAAAATTAACTTCTGAACAAAATATTTTATGGCAGATGTATTATTTATTCCAAACACATTCTCTAAATAATCCTTAAGTCATTGATTAAATTGTAATGACCTTTCTGTTACATCTCCTAATTAATCCGTACTCCAAAGTAAAGCAGGGTTAACAGTGAAGAGGGGCAAAAAAACAAGTAAATATTTCTCTTTAAAAGATACAGCATATTTATCCAAGGGTTTATTAAATCAAAATCTCTGTCATATACCGCTTTGGGTTCATTTATGAATGTTACCCTTTAATTTATTTGTTTTTATAAAACATATAATGTCTGCGCCTTCTTCAAGGAGATTCATGTCCTCATTAAAAATATTTTTTAGTTGGTTTATGTTTGTCAACTCATGATTAACCACAGTAATGAAGAGAAATAACAGCAGAGAAAATTCAATGTGGAGAAATTCAAAGCAATTTATTTTTGGCACCAATGTGCCTTCTTTTATTTTTCAGCAGAATTTCAATAACCAAATGGTTTTATTTAAATGCCTGAAGTCATTACAATTTTCCGATGTTTATGATTTCAGTTAACCCCCAAATATTCACACTGGACATGATATGATTGATGAATAAAAGCTTAAATCAGTTTAAAATTTATTACACCTACACTGGAAATGAAATGAGGTACATAGGGACAATTATTTGATTTTACCAAAACTAAAGTTTGCAGACACTTAAAGGAAGATTCTACCATCCTAAAAGTACAAGAAACATATTAAACTTAACACCACAGTCATTGAGAGATTTATGATTACAAAAAAGTTGGCTGATTTCTTAATATTATCTACATATATATAGGTTGCTTAATCCAACTTCAAAATCAAGTAGAAACATCTCAATTCAATATATTCTATAACATTTTCTCCTGTCTTTATGAGGCATACATATAAAATCAAAATCCTAGGTCTGATTGTCTACAAAATATTACTGTAGCACAAAGAAATAAAGCTAATAGCTATATTTCCATTGTTCATTCAAATAAATATTTATTTCATTTTAAAGGATAATCTTTGTGATATTACCCAAGTATGAAAATACATGTATGAACATGTCACAGAAATCCTAGTAAGACAGATGACTTAGATAATTAATATATGCAATATATCACATATTTATATAAGTATATAATTTATATATGAATATTTATGAACTTACACACACATATATATAAATAAAGGTTTTTTTCAGTGCTAGCATAGGAGTGTTCGCAGCATATTGTACTGTTAGGATGTGGGCTACAATTTTCAGATTGTATAGACCCAAATCTTGACTCTGTCACTTGGTAGGAATATCACCTGGGCAAAAACTTAACCTTCTTGCTACCTCAATTACATCATCTTGTAGGACTATTGTGAACATTAAATAAACATATCTCTCTATCCACCTAGATAGAGAGAATAAAACAGTAACTCAATATTATAATTATTCATAAATGTTAGTTGTCATTGAATCATAACCTTCTCTTTGTCTAATAAATATGATGTACTTACCAAATTTGCAGTTCATGAATCTTTCAAAATTCACAGAAATGAGTCTTATAGTAGTCATCCACTTAAAGTATATTTGGATATGGGATGCTCCTTTATAGAAACCTTGTCTTTTTATTTAATAAATGACAGATAAGTTGCAATTCAACACAGTGTGACAAACAGAAAGTAGAAATCAAAGCATCTTTATATAATTAGATGCACCAATTATTATAAATTTAAGCGTTAACATCCATTTCATAGATAACTTAGTTCTTAGGGTTTATGAGTCCATAATAAAAATTCATTTCCCAATAAAGTTCGTTAACACATTATAGTCTTTGTCATTTTTTTCATTTCCTATCTTTTAGTGTATTGGTAATAATGCGGCTGATTGGTAATTCAAGTCAAAATTAGTTTTTCACATTTGGTCATGGGGGAGGGGGCTTGGAATGTGATTCTATCACAGGGACTACAGCTGACTTGCTGTTTGTAGGTGAGGTGTGAGTGGAAGGGGTTAGTCACTGGGGAAATGGCCTGGAGGGGTTACATCTCTCTTTTGCCTCCTCCCTTGACTCTCCTGCCTGCCTTGCCATGATCAGCTCTCCTCTGCCATGCCGCCCTTCCTTGGAGCTATCTATGGGCTGAAACTTCCTGTAAACTGCGAGCCAAAATAACATTTTGCTCCTGTAAATTGTTGATATCTGATATTGGGTCCCATCCGCAAGAAAACGATTAAGACACTCCCCTAATATCATCTGTTTTTAATAAAGGAGAGATGAGTTGAATTCAACACACTGTCACACACACAGAAAGTAAAAATCAAAACATTTTTATTATAATTGGGTGCCCTGAGTAGGGCAAATTTAACTGTTAATGTTCATTTTATAAATAACTTTTGGTTTCAAGGTTTATTATAAAAATGTATTTCCCAAGAAAGTGCATAAATACAACTCTTTTATGTCATTATTTTTCCCCATTCCCTGTCTTTTAGTGTATTGGTATGCCTAATTTTAACAAAAGTTAAGATGACTTTTCAGAATTCTACTTTATATATTCGCAATTAAAAATGTACAATAATACTGAAATACCGAGAATAACATAAGAAATAAACTAATTTTAAAAGAATGATTGGATTCGAATGATTGTTTCTGACTCCAGAGTAACATGGACATTGAAGGCAATCCAGGTCTATGGAAGTAGGTTCTCACTCAGAGTTTTGCTTTTGTGATATCTTTCCCAATTATTAAGCAAAAAAATTGTGTAGACATAGCAGTAACGCTAAGCTCCTTTCAGTAATATAGTATAACTGCCATTCAATCATTTCCGTAAATATTTTTTAAAAGATTTCTGTTTGTAACATGATACAATTTGGATGCTGAATATCGCACAAAGATGGATATGCTTAAGGCTCAGTTCTGCCTCTGGGGTACTACTGGGCAGTGATGGAAACTTGAACAGGCGAGGCCTTCGGAGAGGTCCTTACAGGGTGTGCGTGCTTCCTAAGGTAACTGTGGGACTCCAGTCTCTGTCTGGACTTTTTGCTTCCTGAATCTTGATGCAAGTAGTTTGCTCTGCCATGTGATTCATCGCGGTGTAATTACTTTTGCAGATGACTAAAGCAAACAAGTCACCCAGACTTGGACAGAAATATCCAGATCCACAAGCCAAAATAAGTCTTTTCCCTTTGTAAATTATTTCAGGTGTTTTATCATAGTACCAGAAAACTGATATGCGCAACTGGTACTGATTCACTGAGTATTGTCTTTGCAATGGTATTACGGAGCCTATGTAAGCCAGAGTTTTCTTTTGTTTCAAACCTTAAAAGCAAGCTTCACAAGCTCTAATATCATGGAATGTAGTATACAAATTTCTTTATTCATGTAATTATGATTGTATTGTATTTGATGTTCCCATTTTCATTCTACATGTAGAACTATTTCCATTCCCACCCACACGCCTGCTTATCCTTCTGAAGACGAGATAAGCAAAACTGCAAGCTGTGTGCACAGAGATGAGAGATTCCTAATTTAGTAGAAAGCTTTTTCTTTTGGTTCTTGTTAAGACTTCAGTTGAGTCTAATTACCAGTATGCTCTACTTTCAATGAAATCTTTTATAAACTGAAAAGGAGACTGAAAAGCTTCTTGTTTGAAAATTTTGCACAAAAAATGTATTTTTCAGCATTCACTCAAAACTGGATGAAGTTTCTTATATCAAGTAATAAAAATGGTTATGATAGCTTTTAAAAGCCTAAATAATATAAATATTGTATTTAAAAAAAGAAAAGACAAAAGATACACTTATATAATCATGATAATTAGATCATTTCTATATTTTGCTGAAATAAACATAAGCACTTCATGATTTTTCCATTCATGTAAATTCTATCTTAAAATCGAATCCAACTGTAAGTATCATTTTTAAAGTACAGTCATTATCCACTTAAAGATTTTTATTTTTAAATATTTAAACTCTTACCCTGAGTGGAGGGTTTTCCTGGACTCCACGTGCGGAAATAATCATCCTAAGGGGGAAATGAGGTGAATTGAGTACATATGAGTAATTTCAATGTAGGGACTTATATAAAATATAAAATAATATATGAAACACATAAGTTGTATACACACCTCTACTTCCTTCATTGGCAAGCAGCAAATTATAAAAAAAAAAAAAGAAAATAAAGGAAAAACAAAGAAGACACAAGAAAAAGGAAAGTTATCAAAGGGAACACAGTTTATAAGACACAGAAACGTCTTTCAATGGTTGTGCTCATTTTCATTGCAATTCAATAGTTACAATAACAATTTAAGTATTTTTTGTTGTTACTTCTCCTAAATATTATAATGTTCTACTCTCAATTGCAATTCAATGCATAATATAACATCCTGATAATTATAGTAAACTAATATGCTATAAAGTATATTCCACTTTCCAATTACACAGTTTCATTTCCCACTAGTAAAGTAGTAAATGGAACCATTAATACAGCAAAGAAATTATCAAGTGATTCTGCAGTAGCCCATAGAGAATAAATACACTTTATGCAAATCATTCACATGTTAATTGAATATCTAAAGAATTCATCAAAATGCAACTGGGATATTGAAAAAAGTGCACACCTAATTAAATCCTGGCTAATGTTGAAATCTTTAATATGAAAAAATCAATGCAATATATGTATAATACATTTAGTAAATATAACTGTTAAACATACAACTGGGGCAATGTATATGAGAAAAAATTTCAAAAGCAAAACCAAATGAACTAAATCTACTTTATTTACTGCTTTTACTACTCCAAAGCCTTAAAAAGGTACTTTATCCTTAGCAAAATAAGACTTCATAGTTCAAAATAGCATTCTGTTTTCACTGAGCACATCATGGTGGAAAGAAAACAATTCTTTTGTTCTTTACTTGTATTCACTCAAGTAACTTCGTGTTAAGAACACAGAATTTGGAAAATCCAAAAAGCAAAGCAGAGATTCTTTGTACAGTATGCATTTGCTGATGTACTTGCCAATAAACAGGTAATTACTTCAATTATTAAAATAAACACAACTCCCTATTTATGAAAAAGTTTAGATTATTTTTTCAAACATTTCATTGATTGTGACTGTTCAGTATCACCTTATGTTCTCTCACTGATCAACATCAAATTAATGAAAAAGATGAAAAAAGAAATAAGAATGTGCAAACAGCGTCTTAGAGAGGGAAGTGATGATAATCGATGAGCATAGGTTCTACATTAAATTATCTAGGATTAGATCAAGGCATGATAATGTCACTAGATAATTAAATAAACAATGATTGCTTAATTTTTTTAAAAATAATTTCATCGTGATAAAAATCTCAGAAAACTAAGCTTTTAAATTAAATCACTCCACTAAGAATCTCAAAGCTTGAGCTGAAGATGATAACATATTCATTTGATAGCTTTTATCTTTTAACTTATGTCTTGCTGCTTAGGGGTGATTAGCTTTTATTCCAAGAATGGTGAGGATGTGGACAGCTATTTTTTTTTTTTTTTTTGTCTCCGCTGAAGCCTAACAGAACCTGAACACGAGGGAATGAATAATGGATTTGAAGTCAGGCAATCTTGAATTTTAAATCTGGATTTCTAGTAGCATTCCTGTGGAAGAGGTGAGGACCTAGAACTCAGACCCTTGTAACTAAAGCTGGAAAAATAGCACTTATTTGAGAGGGGTGCTAAGGGAATTAGTCATAAAATATACAAAATACCAGCACAACATCTGGCATAGAGGCAGTATTAGCACTTAATAGCTACTCAGAAGATCAAGGTTCATCTCGCTAGTGACTTAGGACAGTGTCATTGGACAAACAGTGATTACCACTGACAATATCCTTTAACTATTTACATTTCTTGAAAACAGCCATGGACTCATCCATGGTAAAAGTATATTTTAAAAAGATTACGATGGTAAAATCTAACCTTAATTGCAATTAACTTCCTTCAGAATAACACCATTAAATTAGTTTAGTTTGGGACCATAGCTATAAAAATCTATAATCACAGTGGAAAGCAGAAGGCTGATTCTTTTGTTCAAGTCAAGGGCAACATTCAAGTCTGGCTATTGTATGGAAAAGCAAAGTAGTTAGCTTTCTGGAATATTTTTAGACATAGTCTTTGTGTTCTCACATCACTGGACTTTTTTTAATGGTTTCACTTCATTAAATCTTAGGAATTTTGCCAGGATGAAAAATAAAAGTATTTTTTCATAAGTGTTCATTCAGGCACAATTTCTTTTGTTTCAAAAAGCTTTATGAGAATACTGGGTGTTCTCAAGCTTCAATTTAGCTTCCAAAATAAGCCAGCCAGGGCTTTAGAAAAAAACTTCAAGAAGTGGCTCCACATGGAGAAATTTTGGTTTAGACAACTGTAGGCAGAACCTTAGTTATTCAGCAGGCAGAGTTGGATTTTTGTTGCTCAGGTTCAAAATCTCATACAACTGAGTGAAAGAGACAGTAAGAATTTAACATGTTTGCTATTACACTTTTGCTATTACAATTTCTTGCAGTTAAAGAAATAGCAATTGTTAGTTTCTCACAAGATAGCTGACAAAGGAAAATATGATATGTGTATTACAGTATTGAAAGTATTTTTTTCCTTGTGTTTTTTAATGCTATGTCTTTTCTTCAAGTTTCAAATGAAATATATATGTAGTACAGGGTACAACATCTCCAACTGTGTTATTATCGATATTCAGGCCAGATAAATATTTGACACATTGAAGGTAAGGGGGGCTGTCATGTGCACTGAGGGCTGTTTGGCAGCATCGTGGGGTTCCAGTATTGTAGATATCAGTACACATTCTCACCCAATGTGTTACCAGAGTGCCCAATGTCCCTTGGATGAAATATCACCCATTTGAGGACCACTGATGTAGAGTACTGGAAAATACAAAAAGAAAAATGAACAAAACATCCTACAACAGAAAAATTCTACCAGCAACAGAGTTTCTTCTCAAATGTTTTATAATATGAAGAGGCCATTATATATTCAATTTTATAGGCAGGTTTTTCAGGTAATATTTTATTAAGTGTATTTTACAACTGTGCAAGTATTACCTCAAAATATTTAGTAGCTAAACATGTGATTTGTTATAGATTTATTTTATGCCCCCTCTATATTTGTTCTCTTATACTGTTTTATTTTCTTCTAGCAAAAACAATAAATACATAAATTTCTTTTTTTACAAATATAAAGTATTAATTTAAGAAAGAAACTAAAGGGAAGAAACACTATATTTATGATAAAGGAACTATTTTCCCGCTAATAATTGGTGGCAACCACTTTTTTCCAAACACAATACTTCAAAAGAAGCTTATATCCAAAACTCAGGATGTAGTACTTTGTGTCCAACTGCTACATCTACACTAATACTACACTAATAAATTATTTTACTGTCAGATGAAAATCTATAGCTTGGAACTGTATCAGGATAGCTTAAATATCCTTCTAGATTTTACATGATCAACTGGGGCTAGAAAAGTCTTAATGCCCATAAAGTCCAACAGTTGAGAACACAAAGGTAATGCTAAGGTGTCACATCGGGCATTATTAAGCCATTGAAGCTGTTTCCATGGTTACAAAGAGCTGTGTGGGCAACACAATCTTACTGAAGTAAATACTTGACAAAAATTGCTCTGAAAGCGTCACCCATACAAATAATGTAAATAGACATACTGTTGAGGTCTATGGACACAACTTTGTACTATCACCCATAATCATCCTGAAGGATATAATTTAAAACTGCTATAAAATATTTTTAAATTATAAAAGCATATTCCACAATCGTAAGTTGAAACAGATGGTAGTGCTTTTAGAGCCAAAATTCTAAAATAAGAGTGTGTCAAATTAGTAGTTATCAATAGTAATTATTTTTGATACAGCATGCTCATATCCTAAGCAAATATAATAATGCAGTTCTAAAAGGAATATAGAATTTTCTAATGTTAATGTGTGTATATTTTCATATATATAATGTATACATGTAATTGTGCATATATAAATATACATTTAAATTTATAAGTCAATTACAAAGACAATACTATTTGGAGGATCCTATGACACATCTCACAAATTACATAAATACACATATATATTTTTCCCCCAATTCCTGGGATAGAACTGAGGACCTTGCACTGGCTAGGAAGTTGTAGCACCACTGGGCTACATCTCCAGCCTGATATATATTTTAACAAATGACAGCTTTGCCAAAAAAAATCCATGTAGTAAAAGGTCGACAGTATTTCTTTAGAGATTTCCATAACGACCTTATGCATGATTATAAAACCTAGAAAACAATCTCAAGGAGAAAGAAAATAAATAAGTATTTTAGCTACACTGTTGTCAGCTATCTCGAAACACAGCGATTATTGCAATGAACATCGTTACCATGAATTCTCCTGTGAAGTGATGACTAACTACACTAAAGAAGACTTCTTCCCAGGGAAACTCGACTTAGAGTTTGCTTCAGTGTGGGACAGCAAGTAAGGGAGGGGGACAGATAATACGAACACCACCTTTTCTAAAACCATTATTGAAGGGCAGGGCACACAACAGCGCTATTTTGTCAAAAGAGAGCTACATAGTTCAGGTCACATTTGAAAAGAAAATTATGACTAATAGCATTGCGAGATTAGTAGAGGCCATTTTAGAGATTTGCTACAACAGAAACAGAATGTAGGAAATTCTTTTACTCACTTGACAATAGTGAGATTTCTTCATTTTTCTATCAAGACTTTCAAGAAAGGGATTTCAAATCTTACTCATCTCTTTTAAAATTCAGTAAGTATTATTTCATATACCTATGCAAATTATAAATGCTCAAAAGCTATTTGTTGTGAGAAATCAGTTTTCTTTTGTAAGCAACTGCAGAAAACTTTTGTAAAATGCAATAAAACATAATTAAAATAAATCGAACAAAACTAATGATATATGAAATTTCAAGTCTAATTGCCATTAGAATTAATCAACACATTTTTCCATCAAATATCTATGAAATTTTAAATGAGAACTTTCAATTTCTCAAACCATTTCGTAAAGGTCCCCAAAGTTCACCAATCAGTCAAACCTATATAATACATAATATCAAGAGTAAAATTTGGGCCAGGGA